GGGGGCGGGGGCGGCCGGCGGGGCCCCGCTGCGTCTCTCTGTCGCCACGCCGCCCCGGTCGGCGTCGCTATCGACCGGGGAGGCGGCCGGCCTCGGCGGCCGGAGATTAGAGCCCGCGCGGCCCGGGGTCGGGCCGCCGCGGGGCCGAGCCGCTCGCCCCTCCCCCGCCCGGTCGCGGCGCCCCTCCCCCGCCCCGGGCGGGTCTCCGGGGTGGGTCCGAGAATCCCGCCCCAGGGTCATCCATGCAAAGATCCCGAAGTCACTGAGACAACCTCCCCGGCTCCGGGCAGCGTCCTGGGGAAACGGCAGGCCAGAGCTTCAGGCCCTTCAACGCCGCGATCCGCCCGCGCGGTGGGCACGGATCGGAGAGTTTTGGTAAATACTGGGCGTTCACAGCCTCCGGGAGCGGCAAAAGCCAGGCGCCCTGAAACAAACCCAGTTTCATAGTGATGAAGCTTGTCTTCGATGCATGTTTTTGGCTCCAGCCAGAATATGCAGCCTGAAATCACCTCCTCCTCCTAACAGTAATAATAATCATGATAATAGCGGTTGCAATAACCACACGGCCTCAGTAGTCAGACCCCATTTGTCCCCGGGAGCACCCCTAACATGGTGTAGATAGGAAGAAAGGAGAAAGAATATTCCCCCAAAGGCAGATGTGGCAGCTCTGGGGCCAACCCTGGAGAGAATTCTGGTTGCCGATCCTGAGAGGCTGGCATGGTAGGAGAAAAGGGGTCTCCGGGGCACACCCAGCCCCTTTTTTGAGGGGTGGGGGCGAGGGTGCTTCCTCTCCACCTCTCGCTGCACTTAGAGGCCACCCCCTTCCCATATCCTCTTTTTCACTGACTTCACTTTGCTTGTTCTCCAAACAAAGGGCCAAGATTTGAGGTCTGTTCACCCACCCTCAGTCTTTTCAGAAAAAGGCTCTGCGGAGCACTGCCAATTTTCATTCCGTTTGTGCAAGCATTTGATCTATCTCTTCCCTTGCATCCTTGCATTGTTTTTTGGGGGGTGGGGAATTGTTTGTATGTTTGTTTATTTGTCCTCCACCCCCCTTCCAAATTGCCAGCCAGACGCCAACACGCCGAATCCTCCATCCAGACTAGCTCGGCTCCTCTTGGGGGTGGGAATTGCCCTATGCAGGGAGTTAATTTATTAAGCAAACTTTATTAAGAATTCTGATTTACTGCCGTGTGTGCCTTGGGTAGATTCCTGGAGTATTACCCTGGCTTTTTCGGCTGGAAATTGTCATTTTTGAAATGTTTCTTTTTAATGAAATCATTGGCCCCTTTTCAAAACAGGAGAAAAAAATCTATTTTTTAAGCGACTGGATAATGAGGCTAATTTAGGGGGCGGGGAGCAGAGTAGTATCAGGAAACAAAAGGAGTTTTGGTTTTCTTACAATCTCATTTTCTTTATTATTTTTAGATTATTCTAAATTCCATGCACAAATACCAACCCCGATTACACATCGTGAAAGCGGATGAAAATAATGGATTTGGCTCCAAAAATACCGCATTCTGCACTCACGTCTTTCCTGAGACAGCATTCATTGCAGTGACTTCGTACCAGAACCACAAGGTAAGCCCGACACCCAGGAACCAGCGCCTGGAGCCGCCTGCTCTTTTGCATAAATCTGCAGGGGTTTCCTGCTAGAACTTCAAGCTTTAAAAACGGTTTTGATTCCTCCTAATAGCAGTCACCAACTTCAACCCCAGGGTGCCAGGGCACGACGGGAGCCATAACCTAAAGGTTGCAGCTGTTTGTAGTATATTCGAGGGCTTGGAATGGCTGTCACATCCACACATATGTACACACACCAGTTAGACACAAGATTGTCGGGCCAGGCGCAGTGGCTCTTGCCTGTCATCCCAGCACTTTGGGAGGCTAAGGCAGGAGGATTGCTCAAGCCCAGGAGTTGGAGAACAGCCTAGGCAACATAGCAAGACCTCATCTCTACATACAAAAAAATAAAGAAAATCAGCTGGGTGTTGTGATACACATCTGTCATCCTAGCTACTCCGGAGGCTGAGGTGAAAACATTGTCTGAGCCCAGGAGGTGGAGGGTGCGGTGCGCCTTGATTGTGCTACTGCACTCCAGACTGGGTGACAGAGTGAGACCCCGACTCAAAAACCAAAAAACAAACAAAAAACCTGTGAAACCATAGATGGCACGCATTCAGGTGTCACAAGAAGGCATCCCACTGAACTCATGAAATGCTTTGGTGGGGGGGAGGTCACTTCATTACAGGACTCTGTGCTATCGTGTGGGGTGCCTGGTGTTTCCCTCCTGGGGCCACTTTTTTTGTTAGGGTCAGTTTCTTCCTCTCTTCCTTGCTTTTGCATGTATTTCAATCGGCAATGGGGCAGGTGGCAAAGTTACCGAAAACCTTGGGATTGGACCTTCATGATGTTTCTCTAGTTGTTTCACTCACCCCAGGCCACATTCTCAAGCAAGGGTTGCCTTGTTAGAACAAAACAAGAGCACTCTGTGCCACCGGCAGCCTGGAACACCACTCCCAGAACTAAGACAAGAGCCTATGGAACCAGCTTGGTGAGGGGAGGCCAGCAACACACGCAATGCGTGTGCTATTTGGGAGAAGTGGCTGCAGTATGGTATCTAGGTGGGATGCTGCCAGATGGCTTGTGTAAACATCAGACCCGACGCTGTTCAAGAGCCAGGCCCTGATGTCGGCATTTCAAAGCTCGGCAATGACATTGAAGCCGGCTGCCCATAACTCCAGTTTGGAGATGGGGTGGGGGAGAGTATCTTCGATTTTTTCCCCAGGAGAAAGAGCTTGTCTTGACTTGTCATGGTTCACCTCTGTTCTTTAGATACCTGAGTGCATGTGGATTCATTTTATTGTGGGTGGCGGGAGGGATTTAATGTTTCCTAAGCCTTGTTATGAAAGATCTGGAATCTGGAGAGGCAAGGAATGGGCGCCGGGGGAGGGGCCCAGCCCTTGTGGGGTTAGACTGTTAGGAGCATTAAGCAATGATTTGGGCTTAGATGGCCGTGGGAAGGCAAGGTGGGGGGTGTGAGATTCATGTGTGGGATCCCTAAGGGCAGATCATGGGGGGAGGGGCACTAACCTAGAGGGATGCCGGGAAACTGGTACCCCCTCCTCCTCTACAGCTCCTGTCCTCACCAGCAAGGTAATGGTGGAGGGAAGCAGTGGAGGCTGACCAGAGAGGCCAAGAAGGGCCAGCGGCAGGGTTAGCATCCTACATTCTCCAGTCAGCGCATGAGGCTCATTCCAGTGCAGGATGGGTTGGCAGAGAAAACCCTCATTGAGGCTGGGGCTACTACAAAATGCTATGGGTCATCTCTCAATCCAGGTTGTCTGTGACCAGGCCAAGCTATGATGGATGGTCCTTTCAGGCCACAGGGCTTACCTGGGAACCCAGGTCTTGAGAGAGCTTCCTGCCCTCTGGAAGAAAACTCACTCTCCCTCAAAACAGAATTACTTTTGAAAGGGGAAAGAGAAGACAGGCTCGGTGGCTCAGCCTGTAATCCCACGCTTTGGGAGGCTGAGGTGAGTGGATTGCCTGAGCCCGCGGGTTCAAGACCCGCCTGGGCAACTTGGCCGAGACCTCATCACTACAATAATTGAAAAATCAGCCAGGCGCGTTAGTGCATGCCTGTAATTCTGGCTACTTGGAAGGCTGAGGCGGAAGGATTGCCAGAGCCCAGTAGGTTGAGGCTGCGGTGGCCAGGAGCGGCCACTGCACTCCAGTCTGGGCGACAGAGTGAGACTCCAACTCAAAAAAGAAAAAGGAGGATTTTTTGAGCTTTCCCCCACTTGTTTGAAAGATCCAATGCCCTGAAAGTTGCAAAACTAGTTTAGGCCAGTTTGAATATGGCTTCTTGACATCTGTTTCCTCAATGGCAGCTGTGAACCTGTGTTTAACTTTGTGGTGATGGTCATAGGAAAAGAAAAAAAATAGCAGTAAGGAAGCTTAGTTCCCAATGTATATAAGCTTACAGGCTCCCAAACCTGACAGAGGGTCCAAAAATGTGTCAAATCTCCCCCCACCTCCCCCAAAAGCCCAGGTTCATACGGGAAGGACAGGAAGGAGCAGGCATATAAAATTGATCTGCCAAAGCCACACGTGAGTGCTCAGGTCCTTTGGGGGGTAATATCCTCAGTTCTGTGTAGTTGTAATCTTAGTATCCCATCAAGTGTGGGTAGGTCTGGGGAAACTTGTTGTCTCTCTCCATCTCTCTCTTTGTTCACAGCTTCGTTGAAGCACACTTGTTATCCAATAAACTGCGATATTTGAAGGATACAATTTGATAAGTTTGACATATGTATGAGCCGTGAAACTGCCACCCCTCCACTATTGATTATACCCAACACCCTTTAAATTTCTATTTTAAAAAAATGCATTCTCTAATGCACATGTTTAGTGATCTATGTGCCTGAATGCCTGCCTGCCCAATGGGGTGTGTGCCTGTGATTTTTGAGTACAATCTAGGGAAATTTGTATCTAAATGTTCACGGATCTAAAACTGTCTCTCCAAATATGCATTTGAATATATGCATATTTAATGACCCCACAAAGTGTTCACACACAGGAATTGCTTTCTTTTTCCTCAATGTCTTCAGGGAGCCTAGTGGAGCTATACATACGATCTGTTCAGCCAGCTTTGCAATCCAGAAGAGGAATTTCATAGGAGACAACTTTGTGTTACCCTCCCCCACTTCTAGCTTGTAGAGTACCAAAGGCACCTATTTTCTTTGTCAGGAGCAAGTCCAAAGCAGTACACTTTCCCAGTCAAGTTCAGGGTCCCTGCAAACATTTCCCGCATGGATATATGATGTGTGATTTAAGTAAGCGGGCCAGGGTTGCATGTGATTTGTGGACTCAGGCTCACTACTTTATTGTCCCACCTGGACTGGGTGTTGAGACTTCTGACTTCATGGGTAGAAGCCAGCTGAGCTCTTGCTCAGCGTCACAGAGGGTTAATGTGGGGATTCTGGAGGCAGACTGCTTGAGTTCAAATCTATGTGACTTGGGGAAGTGACTTAACTCTGTTTCCCCATCTGTGAAATGGGAATAATAAGAGAACTCACCTCATAGGGTTGTTGTGAGGATTCAATGAGATAATTCACAGCAAGTGTGTACTTTGGCACAGAGGGTTAGTAATTGATCGGACCCTTGATTGACTATGCAACGGATCAGTTCATTAACGGGGCAACTCCATCCAGAATGCAGACTCCAAAAAACTCTTTGCCTGGTCAGTGTGACTCCCTGGCTGTTTTAGAAACTGAAAGACAGAGATTTTAAATAGTTCTAATAAGAACTGTGGTTGAAAAATAACTGCAATGTTAGTCTTTGTGGTTTAGTTGGTGCATTCCCTGATCATGTCGTCAATTCAAAGACTATTTGTCTAGTGTTTTGCTTTGGATAAATGAGCAGGGGGAAAAAAAGCAGTCCATGTGATTAAATTGCCAGGACAACTTGGGAAAATAAGAGCCACCATTTTGTTTTGTTTTGTTTTGTTTTGTTTTTTGGTCAAAGGGCTTCCAGCATGATCTTTCCCCATTTGAATGCGGGTACCAGGTGGAGGTAGGTATGTGGCTGGGTTCGTTTCTTGGGCTGCAGTCACACACCCATATTCTAATGACGAGACATATTTCCTCAGCCCAGCTGTGATCCCAAGCTGGATTTGGGACTTATTTCCCCAGATGGTTGACAGCTTGAAAAAGATATTTAAAAACTCAAATCTTCCCCAGCGACATTCATTCCATGAAACACGTTTTTGTAAAGTTTTCACGGCAGTTGTCAGCAGCTCCCAGAGCAATCCCTAGAAATATTTAGGTGTTAAAAAAAGGTCACGTGGGCATTTCATTTCCCTGTTCTTGCAACAATGGCTGTGTATGCAAGCATGTCTATCCCCCGATATTAACTTAACTTTGCCATTAAAAGGCATTTTCCTCCTGCTTAAATCATTGTGTAAGGAGTCTATATTTATGAGGTATGAGCTTTCTGGTTGGGACCAGGAAATGAACCCTTAATAGAGAGACATAATTAAGATTTTTGGCCCTCGTGAGGGTTTTTAAATTTTTTTTTTTCAAAAGCAAGAATTCACAACAATTATTCTCATTAATTTTTACAACCTCTGTCTCACCGGTTGGAGCTGGTATTTATATTTGGTTCCCCCACCCCTGGCTTTCCCCCGGATATCCGGTTTTATGCTGATTTTGAGGGGAGTACATTTGTATGGTGAATAGAAATCAGTTTCAGTGGTAGAACTTGAACGTCCAGGTGTATCAGTCTATGCACCCATGAGCTAACATGCAGTGTATTAGGAAGGGAATTTTGTAAACTGGCTTACGCTATTTGAGTGGACACATACAAAATGAGGCAGACTTTTTATTTATTTATTCTTTTGAGTTAGGTCTCATTCTGTCTCCCAGGCTGAAATGCAGTGGCAAAATCATAAGCTCACTTCAGTCTCAATTCCCTAGGCCCAGGTGATCCTTCCACCTCAGCCTCCAGAATAGCTGGGAATGCAGGAGCATACCACCGCACCCAGCTACATTTTGAAAATTGTTTTATAGAGGCGAAGTCTCACTGTGTTGCTCAGGCTGGTCTCAAACTCTCAAAGTGCTGAGATTATAGGCGTGAGTTATCATATCTCGCTAATGCAGATCTTTTCACCTGCTAAAAACTTGTATGTTAACACTTCTCAAGGGTAATTCTTATGTCTTACAGGCAGCTATACTCAGTATCTAAAAGAAGTCATGCGTAAGATTAACTTACCCAAGTGTCTATATATATGTATCTCAAATTGTGCTTATCCTATGCAATCGTATTTTTGCAAGCTTATGTTAATATATACAAGAATTAGGTAGTAGTTAACTTGTTTGAGGTTCAAGGAATGAGTTTGAGCAAAGCGTTTTTCTAATAAAATAAAATTCACTGTTTTATTTTTTTTCTTGGGACAATTTTTGGTCCTGAGTTCTTTGTGGAGCAGTGAAATCATGGACTGGGCACTAATTCTGCCCTAATGCCACATCCTCACTGTCTCTCACATTTGTTGCTGTGACTCAGATAGGTTAGGGTGGGGGTGGGGAGGGTGGGGATTTTCTCCCTTTCCTTTTTAATTTTTTTTTTTTTTGAGTTGGAATCTCACTCTATTACCCAGACTGGAATACAGTAGTGCAATTACAGCTCACCATAGCCTCAACCTCCTGGTCTCAGGTGATTTCTGCCTCAGCCTCCTCAGTAGCTAGGACTACAGGCATGCACTACCATGCCTGGCTAATTATTATTATTACTATTTTGTAGAGGTGAGGTCTCACTATGTTGCCCAGGCTGGCCTCGAACTCCTGGGCTCAAGCAATCCTCCTGCCTCGACCACCCAAAGTGCTGTGATTATAGGCATGAGCCATCGCACCCAGCATAAATTATCTATATTTTAGTTAATATGTTGTGAGCCCATTTAAAAAATGATTTATGAACAATTGAATGTGACATTTTATTGCGACAAAACCTGAGTGAGAAGGAATGCTCCAACAGGTGATAGGTTTTTAGACTCTTAAAATACAATTGAACTCAGGAGTGTAGTCTTAAAGATTATTTTCCAAAAAAAATTTCTACTCATCCTGAGAGTCAGGACGACATCTCAAAGCTGCAGGAATGGGCACAGTTAAAAAAAATATTGAGGGGGAGAGGAATGTGTACACACACAGGCACATACACACGTATATAAATGCATTTTTAAAAAATATTTTAAAATAAACTTTATTTTTTGGCGCATTTTTAGGTTCACAGCAAAGTTGAGTGGAAATTACAGAGTTCCACATACCCCCCCCACACACATAACTGCCCTCACCATCAACATCCTCAATAAAGCAGAACATTTGTCACAGTCACGAGACTACATTGACACATCATTATCAGTCCATAGTTGACATTAGGGTTCACTCTTGGTGTTGTACATTCGCTGGACTTGGACAAATGTATGATAACATGTTTTCCCCATTATAGTGTCCCATGGAGTATTTTGTTTGTTTGTTTTTGAGTCAGAGTCTCACTCTGTTGCCCAGGCTGGAGTGCAGTGGCATGCTCATGGCCACTGCAGCTTCAACCTGCTGGGCTCAGGAGATCCTTCTGCTTCAACCTTCCAAGTAGCTGGAACTACAGGCATGTGCCACCACGCCCAGCTAATTTTTTTTTTAAAGATGAGGTCTCACCATATTGCCGAGGCTGGTCTTGAACCCATGGGCTCAGACAATCCTTTTGCCTCTGCCTCCCAAAGTGTGGGGATTACAGGTATGAACCACCACGCCTGGCTTCATGGAGTATTTTCATTGCCCTAAAAATCCTCTGTGCTCTGCCCTGTTCATCCCTCCCTCCCTTCAACCTCTGGTAATTACTGATCTTTTTACTGACTCCACAGTTTTTCTTTTTCCAAAATGTCATATATTTGGAATCATATACTATATTTAAGAATGTTAATCACATGTGTATTTTTAATATGATTACACACACATATACATATGTATAGTAATTTTATGTTTATTATAGTCTTGGAGTTAGAGATAAACCTTATAGGTCATCTCTTCTAGAAAGCAGAGCAGACAAGACTGCCTCTCCTCAATGAAGAAATCTGAGGTTGCATTCATTTTTTACTCCTAGTACAGTTTCTCCGAGTCTGTAACTATTTTACTGGGATAGATGAGATGACTTTTAGGGATACTTAAATATGATAAAATTACAGAGAAAGTTGTTCTCTTTTCCAAAGCTTCTAAAAGGGAGAGAGTCTTAGTCCAGCACTAGCTTATATTAAGTACTTCTCTACAAGTGTCTAATCTCCCCTTACAACGAAAAGAAGGCAGGTCTTTGGGTAACAGTAGAGGTAATTTGGTATACTTGTTTCCCTTTATTGAATAGCAAGTGATTCCTGGTTGTCATATAGAGCAGTGATATGCTATTTCTGTGTGACATATGTTTTTATCAAAGTAATTTGGCTTAAATAAAAATTTTAAGCAAACCACCGTTATGGCAATGATTGCGAAGAAGAATCTGAAGGACTGAAGTCTGAGTCATGCTGCCCTGGTGTCCACAATGTGATTCTCTATTTTAAAATTCAGTTCACACGCAATTTTTAGGGAATGCTTCTAGCAAACCACATATGGATACATTCTGTCACCTGGGTCTGCTACTGTACATTCACAGTAATATAATGTGTTGATAGCTTAAATTAAATTTCTGGGCCCAGGCCCAAACGTTCAAAAAGACCCCATGCTATTATTAAGTTTTGTACATTGCAGCACAGATTTCTAAGCTAGAGCTCTGTTTGACTTGTCTGGGACGTCAGAGAGGTTTGGTGTTTTGCGATAGCTATCATATATGTCATCATTATGTATGTTGGCGTGTATTTTTTTAGGCACGCTTTTCCACCTGAGCTAGCAAACTCTCTCTGTGAAACTATGAAATTATACGGAGTGAGGCATGGTAGAATTTTTGAAAGCAATAATTAAGACATGATTTTTTCCAGAAACACATGACAGGGCCAGCGCTTCCAAATGGAGATTACCACGCCACCGGAAATACAACAGTGTCAACACGCACACTTTCCAAAGGGGGGTGGGGCAAGTGTTGAGGACTAGATTGTGTTTGAAGCATACAATGCCAAGCTTAAAAAAAAAAAAAAAGCCCAGCTAGAATGACGCAGAGTATGACTTCAATTAATGGGCAAACCAAATCCAGGTTTTTTCCCCCTTTTAAAAGCAGTCTGGTGGAGGACATTTTTCAAAGCCTCCACTTGAATGAAGTGGTGGGTCCTGTTGACGTGACTGCCTTAATTTGCTTCTTTTGGTTGCCAGAGGCTGCGTTTCCATGACATTTATTATTAGCTCATGTCCCGAGGTGGTCTCGGAGCGATCAAGTGAAAACCAGCTCATTCTCTCTCCCTCTTTCCTTCAGATCACGCAATTAAAGATCGAGAATAATCCCTTTGCCAAAGGATTCCGGGGCAGTGATGACATGGAACTGCACAGAATGTCAAGAATGCAAAGGTAGGAGAGTGGATTCCTCGACCTTCTCCCTCCACACAGACCCCCCCAAATAACCTACATGAACTAGCAGCAACCTGGCACCTCCCTCTGCCTCCCTTCCTGCCCAGAGAGCACCAGGCACAGAGAGATGGGGAGGAGGAGCCCCTCTGCTCCACTTTCTGGTGACCCTCACATGTAGCTGATGCCATCAGACAACCTGGAGAAAGACTCCAGGAGTTTGAAGTTCTCCATGCACTTAGGGAACAAAAGCTACAATGTTCTCTTCTCTCTCCGCTGTCTCTCTCTCTCTCTCTCTCTCTCTCTGTAGAGAAACCCTTTCTCTTTTTCTTCCCATAAGTCACAGCCAACAAATGTTTTTCTTTTTGGCAACCGCTCTTGGTAAATGAAAGAGAAGTTAACGACTTGATTTCCTGGGGGTGAAATACAGACACACTTGACACCATGTGGTGTCCAGGGCACTGAAGGATTGGAAGCTGGTGCTAAAAATTGCTCAGTATTTTTACATATCCTGTGGTCATAGTCGCTGATATGATGAATAGAAGGGGCTGTAGCAAATGTACATAGTGGGAATTTGGTCTGATTTGAAAGGATTGTTCAAACATTGCCAATTTTGTCAAACATTCTCTCTACCTCTTTATGTGCTTCCAAAATATCTTACCATATGGCAAGAGATTAGAAATACATCTTGCTCCCTTTGACCAAGTCGTTTTTTCAAGTTTTTCTTTATTTTTTATTCCTTTTGGTGGGCTTAGTGTTTCAAAATAAAATGAGGTCATTTCGGATGTTTTTCCTTATCCTTCCTGGAAGATATGAAAAGGAAAGGGGAGAGTCAGGCAGACAGATAGACATACACATTCAAGGAAAAACAAGAGACCTAAGAAAGAGAAAGAGAGAAAAGCCTCAGCTTTGTGGTTTCAACACTGAGTTTAGAAATACATGCCACGGGCCGGGCTCGGTGGCTCAGCCTGTAATCCCAGCGCTTTGGAGGCCGAGGTGAGTGGATTGCCTGAGCCCATGGGTTCGAGACCCGCCCAGGCAACTTGGCAAGACCTCATCTCTACAATAAATCAAAATATTAGCCGGGCATGGAAGCATGCGACTGTAGTTAGTTCCAGCTACTTGGAAGGCTGAGGCGGAAGAATCGCCCGAGCCCAGCAGGTTGAGGCTGAGGTGGCTGGGACCGTGCCACTGCACTCCAGTCTGGGCGACGGAGTGAGACTCCAACTCAAAAAAAAAGAAAAGAAATACATGCCATGGAAGAAGAATTGTGCTTAGATAGCTGGTGTATCAAACTTAATTTTGCATGCTTTTAAAAAATAAAACTGGGCGCAGTGGCTTTTGCTTATAGCTACTTGAGAGGCTGAGGCAGGAGGATCACTTGAAGTTAAGAGTTTAAAACCAGTCTGGATGACATAGTGAAACCCCGTTTCTACAACAAAATAAAATAAATTAGCCAGGTGTATTGGCATGCACCTGTAGTCCCAGCTACTTGTGAGGCTGTGGCAGGAGGATTGCTTGACCCCCAGAGTTCACAGTTACAATGAGCTACGATCGCACCACTGTATTTGAACCTGGGAGACAGAGCAAAACCCTGCCTCTAATTTTTTTAAAATGATATTATTTTCAGGTGTCATATCACACATTCCTGTACATTTCTGTTTATAATTGCCTTTTTTTCATCATTACGAATTTGTGAAAATAGACAAGTTCTTAGGTTATTATTTTAAATTTTGCGGTAGGGGGGTTTAAACATCTACATTTTGAAATTGGAGTTTGATTTAGTCATGGGGTCAGTGGAAAAGCTGACAACAAATATCACATTTTAGCAGAGTGGTGTTCAATTATTTATGGCCCTGGGTTCAGAGTGCCAAGTTTTTGTTCTCACCCCATTCTGATGGTTATTTACCACTAAGGCAGCTTAGGCATTGTCAAAGTCACCTCCCAGTCCTACAGGTAGAGGTCCAGGCTGTGAAGGTAGGGACTGAGGGGAACCGCCCCATTCAAGCCTACAATCCAAAGCTTTCATCATCTCTTGCTTTTTCGCTCCTTGCAAGGTCAAGAACAGGAAATGATAATGGATTTAAGGTGTCTTGAATCAGCCCTTAGACTTAACCAGTTACTATGTCCTTCTTTACATATCTCAGAATTCATCCCCTTTCTCCTGTCAGGCTGCTCATTTCAGCCACCACAGCCTCTTAACTGACTGAATTCAGTCCTGTCCTCCTCTGAGACTTTCTCCGGAAAGCCACCAAAGAGATGCTGGTAAAACACAAATCAGATGAAATCACTTCATAACAAACACTTCCAAGGCCCCTGTTGTCCTCATTATAAGGTCCAGACTCCTCTGCCTGGTTGGCCATGCCCTTCGCATCTGACCTGGCCACCCCTAGCTTCCTGCACCCCTCACCAGTATCCCTCTAGTAAGGTTCAACTAAAAGAGATACTCCAAACCTGTCTTCCTTATTTTTGACTCTTTGTACACACATTTGGTCTGTTTCAAACTCCCTCCTCTCCCCAATCACCAGGTTATCTCCTAACCACCCCTGGGTCTTTTTGCAGCTCTTCCTTCCTCCAAGAAGTCTTTCCTGGCCACAGACTGCATGACTGGCATATGTCTCCTCCCAGGTCCCCTCGTGGCTCTTCTCTGTCAGGCCAGAGCCAAGCACTTTGGGAGCTGATCAAACAAATGAGAGACACAAAAAAAGAGACAGGTGGGGATGTGCAGGTGCGTGAGAGCTCAAATGTCAGTGATCAGGGGAGTCTCCCCTAAAACTCCAAACAACATAGCTGTTTAGATTTGTAGGCAGATGCCTCTTCTTTTGTCTGAACTGGTTGTCCTGACCATCCTCCCAGTTACTGAAGATTGAAGACTTGACTAGGTGTCTTTCCTGGGTAGGAGCTTTGCAGATGGAGGGGAGGAAAGGCGTGACCGGTCAGCAGTTGATGCTCAGTAGTTGATGCGTTGGATTAAAACTCTCAGTCTAACAGCCATGTGAGTCTTTGTGGCTATGTTAGGAGTTGCACTGGGAAACCAAAGGGCTGAACTAACCACAGGTCAGGTTGAAGGAGTAGACAGGGTCGTTGCTTGGGGGTCAGACAAACCTGGGGTCAGTCCTCACTCTGTATTCATCAGTATCTGACCTTGGGTAGGTGATTTAATCTCACAGAGCCTCAGTATCCTCATCTGCAAAAGGGGCACTGATACTTCTAGCCTCCACTTTCTAGGGCTTCTGGAAGTATGAGAAAGTACCTACAGCGTGCTTGATTCCTAGTCTACGTTCAATGGACCTGATGTGGGGAAAACTCCCCATTACTCCCTATTTGCCCTTGTTCAGAATTTATTCTGGGCCATCATCCCAACCTCCAGGTTGCAGTAGGTAGTGACAAGTGGGGACTGTGGCTCTCCAGAGTCAGGCACGATAACAGCCAGGCAGGAACAGCAGGCTCACGGTTAATCTTGTAATCCTGTTTCCTGTCCCCCACACACCCAGTGACAGCTGGCTCTGGGAGAAAAGCACAAGAGATGACATATCCTCTAATTCCAACAATTGGAAGAAGGGACAAGGTGGGGTTTTGGAGGACTAAGCATTACTTCGCAGTTATTCCACATAAGTAACTTCTGGAGTCACTTGGCAAATGTCTGGGCACTCACCCCACTATCTCTTGGCTCGACTTTCTGTGTTTGGAAAATGCAGGTGATGGTTTAGTTATTTTCCAACATTCATTTATGGTTTCTAGTTACACAAGCAGTCACTGCTTATTATAAAAATACGAGAGCTATGGAAAAGCACAAAGAACACAAAATTATTTAAACATCCCGTCTCTAGCACACCAATGAAAAGGAGTGCCAAAGTTATTTAGAAAGGTGAATCTGTGGCTTAAAAACACCTAATCCAAAAACCCCCCACTATTTCCCCAAATTGCAGTAGCCCTAGAACGGTGACAAAGGAGGTGGTTTTAGATAGTACACAGACACACAGACAAACCTGCCTGTGATTTCTTAGATGTTTTTGCTTAGAATGAGACTAAGTTCTAAAGAAGGAAGGAAGGAGGGAAGGAAGGGAAGAGAGGAAGGAAGGGAGGGAGGGAGGGAGGAAGGAAGAGAGGAAGAGAGGGAGGGAGGAAGGAAGGAGGGAAGGAAGGGAGAAAGAGTGGGAGGGGAGAGGGAGGGAGCAAGCAAGGGAGGAAAGAAAGAAGGGAGGAAGGGAAGGAGGGAGGAAGAGATGGAGAAAGATGGGAAGGTAGGAAGATTGGGAGGAAGAAAGGAAGGAAGGAGGAAAGAGAGAGAGATGGCGAGGGAGGGAGGCAGGAAGGAAAAGGAGTTAATTTAAAGTTGATTAAAGAGAAAATATTGGGCAACTCCTTTGGGTCCCCTCCTGCTATGGGAGCTTTTCTGTCCTCTCAATACATCCTGCTTTCAAAAAAAAAAAAAAAAGAGAGAAAATATTAACAAGAGAACAGTGGAGTTGTTACCAAGATTTGGGCAACATTACCAAGATAATACACAAACAGCAGACGTTTGGAGCATACACATAAAAGCTTAAGTGCCTACTAAGAAAAGTTTGGACACTCTATTGCTGTTGGACACAATCTATGCCTTGGTTTTTCATAGGGCATTCCTTTCTTTGAACTTTGCTTCAATCCTTTAGGATGTATTCAGACAAGTCCTGAACTTTCCAGGAGTCCAAGGGCCTGGGACTGAGACTGGGTGGGGCTGGGTCCAGGCCTCCCGCCTTCCCCTGCACTGTGGACAGGGTGAAAGTAAGCCTTGTAGAGAGAATGGGATTTGGATCTGCTAGGAAGAAGGGTTTTCTGGGCTGGAGCAGGACAAGAGTGAGCAGCCATCTAGAAATCCAGGAACCAGAGTAGGGGTTAGATCCCGAAGATCTCGGAAAGCCAGCTGGAATGGTGCTGTTGCAGGTGACACCAAGAGGAGAGTGGCTCACAGAAGCATGGTTTTCTAGAGACAGGAGGGACTTCAGGGGCAGCATCTGGGCCAA